CAGCTCTACCGCTAGTGGTCAAAGCGGTGCAGCCTGCTCGAGCACGGAAGGTACCCGACCTGTAAAACAACGATTGTGTGGACCATGGACAGGTATTCCCATGAGACAACGGCAAATGAGCCAATCACCCTGGAGGGCATTATTTCGGGTCGCAAATGTTAACAGGATACTAGTAAGGACCCATGGACGAGAACAAAAAATGGAGGTTATGGGTTACACCACAACCGGAGGGCAAGATCACTTATGGGTATGGAATCATCGATTCGCCATCTACCAGGGAGAACATTGGACATGTTCGACCGACCAACTAGTTTCGAATCACATGTTTAAAAAAGGGTAGTTTCAACATCAACTTCTAAGAACGTAAAAATAAATAACAAGCATTCCCAACAGAGCTATTGATTTTCGAACAAACAAAGCAATTCACAAAAAAACGTTATAAACCCACACAGAATGAGGATGCAACAGCGAGAATAGATCGGAAGCAGAGGAGGGAAATCGCACTCATTGGGATGGAGGAGGTGGAGGTGGCGGAGGAGCTGGAGCAGATAATATACGAGACAGGTCGGCTTGTGGTGCTGGTGGAGGTGGTGGTGGAGGAGGTGGTGGGAAACCACCCATTGGTGGAGGCGGTGGCGGTGGCACGGGTAATGGCATCGTTGTCGCGCCTCCATACCATCCGGAGTAGTCTCTAAAACTTCACACTTTTTAGAAAGAATCTGAGATGTATATACACAAAAAGCTAGGAAAAAGCAATTATTCACAATTACTCGAAACGTAACTAACCCTCTGAAAGCTCCACGTCCTCGAGCTCCAGGACTGGAGAAGAATCCATGTGGTTGGTATGAATCCGGTGGTGGAGGTGCCATACCGTAAGGTGGTCTGACGCCTGGTGGAACCATACCGCTCATCATTTGCTGCTGAGCTGCTGTGCCCAAATTCACACGAATCACTGGTGGCTGGTTATTTATTGCGCCTCGTGGGAAGTAGGTGCCTCTCTGTAAACCAGATCATGTCTAAGATCTAAAGCAAAAAATAAGCAATAGCATTTTGTACAAATACCTGGCCACGGAATGTGGTTGTACCACGTCCCCGTACTGATCCATCAGCTTGGCGAGCAGGACGTTCACCGAGTTCTTCCATAAGAGCTGAATACTCGTCATCCATCCCACCATCAGTAGCGCCTGCTGCTTCACCTCCACCAGGACGCGGATTTTTACAATCTTTAGCAATATGACCGGCACCTAAAAATGGAACAAGAAGTTAGCATGCTGTAGACCACTTATTTCAAAAGACAATAACTTTGCTTAATTATTTAACTAGATGTACGAAAACCCACATCCGCATGCCATGCAAACCACTTTAGCAGTGATATTAGGCGCATCCGGGCATTCCCATGTCTTATGTTCATCTGAGCCGCAGTTCGAGCACCGAGCTCCGCTGAAAAGTAAAGAAATCCTTGGTTACGTAGCCCAAAAGTAGCTCTAGCAGTACTTAAACTGTCTGGGATTTTTCGCCAGAGATGGTAATGCATGCAGTCTTTTCCTAATGTTGTAAACAGTGTTGATTGTAAACAGTGATGTGTGAAAGTATTTGAATTTTTATCTTGTACATGTGAGACTGTTTCTCAAATCGTGTTTATCGATTCGTGC